ATAAAACTAAAAGCTGGTTCTTTGAGAAGATAAACAAAATAGATAAACCATTAGCCAGACTCATCAAGAAAAAAAAGGAGAAGACTCAAATCAATAGAATTAGAAATGAAAAAGAAGTAACAACTGACACTGCAGAAATACAAAAGATCATGAGAGATTACTAGAAGCAACTCTATGCCAATAAAATGGACAACCTGGAAGAAATGGACAAATTCTTAGAAATGCACAACCTGCCAAGACTGAATCAGGAAGAAATAGAAACTATGAACAGACCAATCACAAGCACTGAAACTGAAACTGTGATTAAAAATCTTCCAACAAACAAAAGCCCAGGACCAGGTGGCTTCACAGGCGAATTCTATCAAACATTTAGAGAAGAGCTAACACCTATCCTTCTCAAACTCTTCCAAAATATAGCAGAGGGAGGAACACTCCCAAATTCATTCTATGAGGCCACCATCACCTTGATACCAAAACCAGACAAGGATGTCACAAAGAAAGAAAACTACAGGCCAATATCACTGATGAACATAGATGCAAAAATTCTCAACAAAATACTAGCAAACAGAATCCAACACCACATTAAAAGGATCATACACCATGATCAAGTGGGATATATTCCAGGAATGCAGGGATTCTTCAATATATGCAAATCAATCAACGTGATACAACATATTAACAAATTGAAGGAGAAAAACCATGTGATCATCTCAATAGATGCAGAGAAAGCTTTTGACAAAATTCAACACCCATTTATGATAAAAACCCTGCAGAAAGCAGGCATAGAGGGAACTTTCCTCGACATAGTAAAGGCCATATATGACAAACCCACAGCCAACATCATCCTCAATGGTGAAAAACTGAAAGCATTGGGCTTCCTTGGTGGCACAGTGGTTGAGAGTCTGCCTGCCGATGCAGGGGACACGGGTTCGTGCCCCGGTCTGGGAAAATCCCACATGTCGTGGAGTGGCTGGGCCCGTGAGCCATGGCCGCTGAGCCTGCGCGTCTGGAGCCTGTGCTCCGCAATGGGAGAGGCCACAACAGTGAGAGGCCTGTGTACAAAAAAAAACACCACAAAACAAAAAACTGAAAGCATTTCCACTAAGATCAGGAACAAGACAAGGTTACCCGCTCTCACCGCTCTTATTCAACATAGTTTTGGAAGTTTTAGCCACAGCAATCAGAGAAGAAAAGGAAATTAAAGGAATACAAATTGGAAAAGAAGAAGTAAAGCTGTCACTGTTTGCAGATGCCATGATAATATACATAGAGAATCCTAAAAATGCTACCAGAAAACTACTAGAGCTAATCAATGAATTTGGTAAAGTTGCAGGATACAAAATTAATGCACAGAAATCTCTGGCATTCCTATACACTAATGATGAAAAATCTGAAAGTGAAATCAAGAAAACACTCCCATTTACCACTGCAACAAAAATAATAAAATATCTAGGAATAAACCTACGTAAGGAGACAAAAGACCTGTATGCAGAAAATTATAAGACATTGATGAAAGAAATTAAAGATGGTACAACTAGATGGAGAGATATACCATGTTCTTGGATTGGAAGAATCAACATTGTGAAAATGACTCTACTACCCAAAGCAATCTATATATTCAATGCAATCCCTATCAAACTACCACTGGCATTTTTCACAGAACTAGAACAAAAACTTTCACAATTTGTAGGGAAACACAAAAGACCCCGAATAGCCAAAGCAATCTTGAGAACGAAAAATGGAGCTGGAGGTATCAGGCTCCCTGACTTCAGACTATAATACAAAGCTACAGTAATCAAGACAGTATGGTACTGGCACAAAAACAGAAAGATAGATCAATGGAACAGGATAGAAAGCCCAGAGATAAACCCACGCATATATGGTCACCTTATCTTTGATAAAGGAGGCAGGAATGTACAGTGGAGAAAGGACAGGCTCTTCAATAAGTGGTGCTGGGAAAACTGGACAGCTACATGTAAAAAATGAGATTAGATCACTCCCTAACACCATACACAAAAATAAGCTCAAAATGGATTAAAGACCTAAATGTAAGGCCAGAAACTATCAAACTCTTAGAGGAAAACATAGGCAGAACACTCTATGACATAAATCACAGCAAGATCCTTTTTGACCCACCTCCTAGAGAAATGGAAATAAAAACAAAAATAAACAAATGGGACCTAATGAAACTTCAAAGCTTTTGCACAGCAAAGGAAACCACAACAAGACCAAAAGACAACCCTCAGAACAGGAGGAAATATTTGCAAATGAAGCAACTGACAAAGGATTAATTTCCAAAATTTACAAGCAGCTCATGCAGCTCAATTAAAAAAAAAAAAAAAAACTGGATCCAAAAATGGGCAGAAGACCTAAATAGACATTTCTCCAAAGAAGATATACAGACTGCCAACAAACACATGAAAGAATGCTCTACATCATTAATCATTAGAGAAATGCAAATCAAAACTGCAATGAGATATAATCTCACATCAGTCAGAATGGCCATCATCAAAAAATCTAGAAACAATAAATGCTGGAGAGGGTGTGGAGAAAAGGGAACACTCTTGCACTGCTGGTGGGAATGTGAATTGGTACAGCCACTATGGAGAACAGTATGGAGGTTCCTTAAAAAACTACAAATAGAACTACCATATGACCCAGCAATCCCACTACTGGGCATATACCCTGAGAAAACCATAATTCAAAAAGAGTCATGTACCAAAATGTTCATTGCAGCTCTATTTACAATAGCCTGGAGATGGAAACAACCTAAGTGCCCATCATCGGATGAATGGATAAAGAAGATGTGGCACATATATACAATGGAATATTACTCAGCCATAGAAAGAAACAAAATTGAGCTATTTTTAATGAGGTGGATAGACCTAGAGTCTGTCATACAGAGTGAAGTAAGGAAGAAAGAGAAAAACAAATACCATATGCTAACACATATATATGGAATTTAAGAAAAAAAAATGTCATGAAGGACCTAGGGGTAAGACAGGAATAAAGACACAGACCTGCTAGAGAATGGACTTGAGGATATGGGGAGGGGGAAGGGTGAGCTGTGACAAAGCGAGAGAGAGGCATGGACATATACACACTATGAAACGTAAGGTAGATAGCTAGTGGGAAGCAGCGGCATAGCACAGGGAGATCAGCTCGGTGCTTTGTGACCGCCTGGAGCGGTGGGATAGGGAGGGTGGGAGGGAGGGAGATGTAAGAGGGAAGAGATATGGGAACATATGCATATGTATAACTGATTCACATTGTTATAAAGCAGAAACTAACACACCATTGTAAGGTAATTATACCCCAATAAAGATGTTAAAAAAAGAGTCATGTACCACAATGTTCACTGCAGCTCTATTTACAATAGCCAGGACATGGAAGCATCCTAAGTGTCCATCGACAGATGAATGGATAAAGAAGACATGGCACATATATACAATGGGATATTACACAGCCATAAAAAGAAACGAAATTGAGTTACTTGTAGTGAGGTGGATGGACCTAGAGTCTGTCATACAGAGTGAAGTAAGTCAGAAAGAGAAAAACAAATACCGTATGCTAATACATATATATGGAATCTAAAAAAAAAATGGTTCTGAAGAACGTAGGGGCAGGACAGGAATAAAGACGCAGATGTAGAGAACAGACTTGAGGACACGGGGAGGGGGAAGGGTAAGTTGGGACGAAGTGAGAGAGTGGCATGGACTTATATATACTACAAAATGTAAAATAGATAGCTAGTGGGAAGCAGGCACATAGCACAGGGAGATCAGCTCTGTGCTTTGTGGCCACCTAGAGGGGTAGGATAGGGAGGGTGGGAGGGAGACGCAAGAGGGAAGAGATATGGGGATATATGTATATGTATAGCTGATGCACTTTGTTATAAAACAGAAACTAACACACCATTGTAAAGCAATTATACTCTAATAAAGATGTTAAAAAAATTTTTTTTGAGAAGTGCTGCCCTGAAGCACAGCAGTGGTGATTAATTTAAGATGTGTACTAGAAACACCTGGGATATAAAAACAATGAGACCTATACTCCATCTGCAGATATTTTGATTCAATTGGTTTGGCTTTTATCCTAGGAATTCTATTTTCAAAATTGTCCAGTAAATCCAATATGTAACTAAGACTGAGAACCAATAACTTGGAGCCTAAATGATACCATTACATAAATGTGTGTTCTCCAATGTTTCCAGATTAAAATCAACTTTCACTAAGTAGAAAATATATATGTATAAATTTTATTTAAATATTCTATTAAAATTCTATCAAATATTCTATTTAAAGTTAATCTCTCTATGTATGTGTGTATATGTATATACACACACATATATCAGTATGTATGATTCCTCTGAAAAAGGAATAAGTCAAAAATATACTGTTTAAAAACTTACTAAGTTTAAAAACAGTTATAACTTTTCTTGCTACTACTATTCAAGTTTGGATACTATAGTAGGAAAAAAATCTAATCTAATATCTAAAAACATCGAATATCTAAATCTAATATCTACCATTTATGGAATTTGTTTGAAATTTCCAAAATTATATGAATTAGGGATTTATTATTTTCTTCACATTTTTATAATAAAACTGAAACTTTAGAAAGATTAAATAACTTGCCCAAAATTACACATCTAATAAGCAGTACCATCAATATATTAAGTTGACTCCTATGTCAGGTGCACTCTCACATCAACAGACAAATAACAATATAGAACAACAGTGAAAGTATCACTCTCAGTTCCTCTTTTGAATTAATTCTTGAATCTAACTTCTTTTCATTTGCAGTCCAACTGTCAGGCCCTTTTTACTGAATTCTTGCAATAACTGCCCAATTGCTCTTTGAGTCAAGCTCCTCAGGTATCAATTTTATATTATTTCCAGATTCAGCTCTGTAAAATACGAATTGTAACATATCCCTTTCTGTTCCATCCACATGATGGCTCCTTCACATACTACAGTCCTCCATAATTTGGCACCTACCTCCACGTTGTTGCTTACTCTTTTTCCTTGGCTTACAATGCTTTCCCCATTTTCAGTGTCTGGTGTACTCTTGAATGTCCATATCAAAAGTCCCATTTAAAGTCTGCTAAAATATAATCTATACTTCTAAATTCATTGTAAGTGTTTACAGAAACTGTTTTGAAACATCCACTTTTGGTGGAATGGTCCTTTGGGACTTGGGATAGAGCACTAGGTCAGAGGGAGTCTCTTAAAGCATTTGACATCCATGACTCATCGTGGGACCTAAAGTAATGAATGTTTCCTGCCCAAATTTTTAAACAGGCTTAAAAAAAATTTTTTAAGGGATATTGTGAGGCAAGGAGTCAGCAAAGTTTTTATTCTGAGATCTATTCTGAGATAAATGAATTTTTGACATCTGTGACACTGTTCCTAAGCACTAAAAGATCTGGGTTATAGTGTACATCTTGGTCAGACATATGATATAGCATCAAGAATCAGAGGGAAAATAAAGGCAGAAATATATTAAGACAAATAAAATGAAAAGATGTGGAGTAACCTTGTGCTGATCAACAGTGGACTGTCACATGCTTAGCCTTAGAGGAAATTCGGATTAAAAAGTTTGAGTGGAAGAGACATTGTTTCTGACCATCACTACTTACATGGAAAGAATAATTCCTTCAATACCTACTGAGGCAACCTTAATAATCTGCCCCTGCCCTTTTGCATAGGCAGACCTTTTACCTTATTATGCTTTAAAACTCCATCCTTAACACATTTCTATGTCCATTCTTGATGCTCAACAAATATTAGTCTCATGAAGGAATCAATACTCAACATATAGAATATACCCAAACTATATTGAAGAAAAACTAATGTTTCAAAGTTACCATATAAAAGGAATGTTTTCATACCTAAAAATCCATTCCCATATATGACCACCACATATTAAATATGAATCAAGTTAATATTTCCATGCATGTCATATTAGATATATATTTATAAAGGTAATTACTACTTAACCAAATACAACTGCTTAACCCATGTTAATTCCAACTAGTTAATTCTGCACTTCTGTGTCTATAAAAAATGCATTATCACAAATACAAAGTTTACCAGTTATTTGACTGAATCGATTGATTAGCTTGAATATAAGTAGTTTTATCATTTAACTGAGCCAGACACTATCTTATTGGATTCTAATTCATTGGTCAAATCACATCATATATCTCAATGTTAAATATACTATCTATTTTGCATTTAACACAATTTGGCTGCATTTATTTGAGTGATTTAAGTGCTGATAAGTTCCAAGCCTTGAATTGTATAATATGGGTATTATAATACATTTTCAAATGCCAATAATATTTTTGGCACTATCTTAAAAAACAATTTTGAGACCTAATACAAATTTGCTTGCAAACCTCCCATTTTACTTTTTAGTGTTTTACTGAAGGAGTCCTGTGAAAAATTACCAAGGTCTCTAACACAAAATTTAAATTCTTAGTGGCCAATGGAATTCTGCAATTCCATTAACACAAGAGCCTGACATAGCTGAGATTTATATTGCCAGAAACTCTCATTTGATTTATAATCTGGTAATCCTTTTATCCTCCATTTATATGCAGTATAACTTGACGTAACTGCAAGAATGCCTTCACTAATAGAATTCACGAATATTGGACCAAGACATTTTTTAGATCATAAAGGCTCTCTGAAAAGGGAAAGAAAGGGAAAGGCTAGACCTGACTAGGATGGGATTTGGCTTTAACACAGTCTAATAAAATGAAACTCAGGTTAAAATTACTGACTTTAGAACAGTAGATTGGCATAGAGTTCTCTTTAGATGGGTCTGCTCTCTCAATGCAGCCCACATAACTGTTTTATCAGTCCTTGGGCTACAAAGGAGTTAGATATTTGTAGCTTTTGTTACAGTTCATATTAAAAAGTTACGTGGACTTATGAAGTGTATGTATATGGGGAGAGACAAAGAAAGTGGAATCTGGAAGGGGAGAACGTTCTAAACATCATACTGAGCCTGGGAAAATTCTGGGATATAAAGAAAGTGAAGTACAACAAAGAACGTTTGCCACATTTGCTTCATTTACAAAATGGTATCTTTAAATCAAACAACAACAACAAAAAAAAACATAGTAAACTAAGAATCCAAGGTTTGTATCTGTTACCGTCTTCTCTTTCTAACCAATCTCCACTCCTTTCCCATCCATATTATGTCCTATTTGTTGAAAACACTTTAAACTTGGTTTGAGTATTAATTCTTCTCAATATTTTCCATTCAACATCTCATTTACATTCATTCAAATGCTGATTTTGAACAAATATTATTTTATTTTCATGATTTTTCTCTATGCACTACAGAATTCCAGTTTTCAAAAAATTCTTAGATACATAAGAAATATTATGTATAAGCCCATATCCATACATGATACATGCATAGAAAACTCAATTAGAGGACTATATTATTACATTTGGGAGGTTAGTGGGATATCAAATGACTTGGGGATACTTGCCTTTGTGCTTTTGTATGTTTTCTCAATTTTCTGCTTGAATATGTATTATTCTGGAGCTTCGTAAAATTCAGAAATATTCTTGTGAAGAAATAAACTTTGAAAGTGCCTACATTACTTTAACAGAAATGTATAGTAGAGTACAGTGATAAGGTCATAGGAGATGAGTGCTTTATGATACCAGGTCATCCAAAATAAGGTACTACTCAGGTAGTTTCTACCATTTTTAGCATTTTAAAATTTTCTGTGATTTAAATATCACTCTCTCATCAATAATATGTCTTTGTTACTTTTATCATTTGCTATTTTAAACCTTACAATATACGGCATCCACAATACTAAATAAACTGTGGCGAAACATGTTTTAAGGTTAATTTAACCACAAAGTTACAGCTTTAAAACAAATTTCATAAGTAAAGCAGGATAAAAAAAATATTTACCTCTCACTTAATAACTTCAGACATAGAATAGTAATGTAAATACTTAATTCTACTGAATTAATCGTTAGATTTTATTTTAGTGATCTTTAAGTCAGAGAAAGAAGGGGAGGGAGAGATACAGAGAGGGAGAGATGGAAAGGCAGAGTTAGAGATGGAGAGAGAGACAGAGGTAGAGAGAAAGAGAAAGTCACATTAGCAACATTAGGCAGAATCCTATGCCTGGATCAAAAGCTTGACACACTGTCCCTTTAGTTGATGTGAATATGAGTCAACTACAAAATGTCTCTGTGTCCTCTAAAGGAAAAATACTGTTACCAAGATCTCATACCACAAACACTCTGCCTTGCAGTTTAAGCTGAATGCAAAGCCTGGCATCATAAAAGTTGTACAACTAAATCTTCCTCTATTAACATGCATATATTTATTATTATTATTAAATTTTTTAATTTTAGAGTATTAGTGGGCAATGTAGAAATTTTGTTGACTCATTAGAAAGACCTAATTTGTTAATCTGCACAATGTAACATTGTATTAAGAGGCTGTATTTATAGCATTAATTTTAAGTCCCCATTTGAACTGCTATATTAGAGAAGAAAACAAAAAAAGGTAAATCTAAAAATTAAACTGAGAGCTTTGCCTAGTTTTCCAATTTGCTGAACACACACATATGCTCTCCTCTTCTCGCCTCATCTCTACCCCTCTCTAAATTCCTTTAACCTTTTACTTCGTTTTCATCTATTTCCCTCTCTGTTGCCCTCTCTCCATTTTCTTTTTCACTATTCCTTTTAAATTTTTCTCCCTATTCCTTTTAAATTTTTTCCACCCTACTACCATACAAGTAGAACTTTGCATATTACTATGTCAGTTCTGAATTCCATTCATTTATTCACAGTGATCACCAAAGACAAATTATTACATTTCCTTCTAAAGCAGTTAACGTTTTCAGAAACTTCATGCATTATAGCAGTTTGTGATTCAGTCAAAATGAATCAAATAAAATATTGGTTAAGTTTCATATTCTACTTCCCTATGACTTGTGATCTGGTTGTACTGAAATAAAATTAGGAAGCTTCTTAGAATTAATTTAAGCATTATACTGCATTATACTAGAAGTAATCATATGTGTAGTGCATTACTGTAATCCATTTTTTCCTATTTTCTAGATAATGATTGCCTCTGTGACACAATGATATAATACCGTCACTACATTCAATTTTTCAGCAAAATACATTTAATTCTGGTAATGATAAGAAATCAGTGCATTACAGTATCTATAAGACTGTATCATAACTGGACAAGAAGAATACACCATTTATACCTTTTTCTATACCTTAATATGGAAAAATTTGTTACTCATTGCAAGTGTGTACTATCTTGAATTACAATAGGCAAAGTAGGGGATAGTGGGAAAAAGTTTGGCATTCCAAAATTAACTTAAGTCCTTGATGACATGTTTTTCAAGATGAACGTGTGTGTGTGTAGGCAAAAGTTCAACACAAGATAGAAAAGGACATGTTCCAGATGTGACCAAAAATAATATTGAAGTAGTTTATAAAATGTTCTCCTGGAGAACTCATTTTCCTTAGGAATGATGGATTTTCTCTAGAGGCAGGGAAATGAATTAACGCATCGCTAAATATCATTTCAGTTTGTTTTATCTGTGAAAATTTCCTAAAAATAATTTAAGTTGGAGAGTTAGAAATACTTGGATGTAATTACTATTTTTAATTTAAAAAATTTTTGAGAATGTTACTTAACTCTTTGATTCTCAGGGGGTTTTTTGCTGTACGCGGGCCTCTCACTGTTGTGGCCTCTTCCATTGCCGAGCACAGGCTCCGGATACGCAGCTCAGCGGCCATGGCTCACGGGCCCAGCCGCTCCACGGCATAGGGGATCTTCCCAGACAGAGGCATGAGCCCGTGTCCCCTGCGTCGGCAGGCGGACTCTCAACCACTGCGCCACCAGGGAAGCCCGATGATTCTGTTTTTAACTAAAAAATGGAGACTACACCCCTCAATGTTATTGTGTGGATTAAAGGATATAATAAAAGTTAAAGCAACTAGCATGAATATACAACACACCTTTCT